TATATAAGTCTATTCGTGGTTAAACATTATATTTCTTTAAAAAAAAGTACAAAGTCAAGTATATAAATATAATGGTCACAATTGTGTTTCAGGGCAAACGTGAAGAAAATTTTTTTTCTTCGCTGTTTCCTCTGTAGGAAAATACCAAGATAATTGATAACAAATGTTGTACAAGGCTATTTTTGGATTTAAAGGAGCTAATTAATGCAAACATGTCCATTACACCATTGCGCTATTTTTTACAGCTCCATAAAAATTAACACACAGAAGAGGAGCTCCCATCAATACTCTGATTTACCTAGGTGTGTATGTGTGTGGCGGAGCACGTTTTTGCTACATCGTGGGAACCATGTTCCAGAAAAAGGCAGCCTCATCTGGACCGAATGTGCATCGTGGGGACCAAGGCCCAGTCCTCATGTGTACGGATGCTAATTACAGGTGTGTGGGTTAGGTTTAGGACCAAGGTGTGAATTGAGTTTAAGCTAGTCTTAGGGTCAGGTATGCACCTGTGTGGTTATTTTTAAGGTAAATGCTCAGGGTTAGGCAAACAAATAAAAAAAAAAATAAGTCAATCCATGGTTCCCACAGGGATATAAAAACAAACCTGTGTGTGTGTGTGTGCGCGCGCGTGCGCGTGTGTGTGTGTGTGTGCGCGTGCATTTATGAGAAAAAAGGGAAAGAGAGGAGAGTGGGGTGGGGGGGTATACTCTCCTAAGTGTTTGCACACACATGTACACACTCACAGACTGTCCTGTAACTGGCAACGAGTCCTGATTGCCGCAGAGTGTGCACTTGAGAAAGGACACCTGAGTTTGTAAATCAGTCTTGCTCTCTCTCTGCAGCTTGTTGTCTGTTCCAGTTTGGGTGTCATTTTTCTTTATCTTTCTTTTTAATCACCTTTTCCCCAGTCTCTCATTCCTTGGCTCCTCTCTTTGCACACTTTCTTTCCCCTGCATTGCTGACTTTTGCTTTTCTTTATGTATGACCTTTTGTTTTATTTTAGCCCTCCTGATCTGTCTGTGGTGCACCTATACACACCCTTCACGTTGTACCGTTTTTAATGTGTTTGATTTAATGAGTCTGTATTTTTAAGTTGGATCAAAAATGTCCCTTTGATACAGAACATATGTTTTAACAAGCAGCTCTTGTTCAGCGCCTAGTAATTATTTCTTTCAAAGTTGTCTGCCAATGCATATTTTGCTGTTCTTGCGTACCTTCTGTTGTTTTCTCAAATGTCTAAGGGTGGTAAAACATTACAGACTTTTTTTTTCATAAGATTAGCGATTTAGCCCTAATTAAGCCGCCCCGCACAAGCGTACGAGTCCACCGTAGATATTCAACTCTGTGGCAATTCCCTCATGTTTTTTCACAACGCCCCATGTAGAAAATTTGGCTGGTATGGTAATTCTCACTCCTCCTAATTAGATCAGGGAATCTGCAAGAGTCTTGTACTGTTTATCCACCCATTAGAGCCCATTAGAAAGCAGGGATGCACTCCCTGAGCTCTTAAAGTAGGCTGTATGGACAACGACACTGTTTGATGTTTTGGCGGAGTGTTGCATGAAAGCATGTAGAGACCAAACAGCTGAAGTGCTGATAGCTTAGCTTCAGTTCGGATTTGTTTTAAATCTGAAGCTAATGAGCTTGTCAGTTAGTATTTCATTAATGGTAGGTGGGGTATCACATACATAAGAGACATGCTGTTCAGATGCGTAAATCTTTTACAAAAAGATATGTAACCTTTGTTGTCCGCTGAAACTCCTGCATGTCTGAATCCTAAAAACTGTTTTCAAACTGTTCATATGTCCTCATTATTTAGACTTTGTTATTTTTTTGTAAACATTAAAGATAACGAGAAAAAAACAAGCAAGAAAGTCATTATTATCCTTTGGGAGCTGAAAGGAAAACTTATTTCTATCGTTTGAAGCTCAGCATCAAGAGGGAAAAGGTTCAGTGAAAGGTCATCCCTGTTCACTTTTTTATTATTCTCAAGACCTTCTTCACATGTTCATGTTTACCCCCATCCTTCTCTCCATCCTGCAAACTAAATTAGAGCTCAAAACAGTCATCTAAATCCTCGCAGAATCTTTTCATACTTTGAAATGCAGGGGGGGAAAAGGTTAGAAATAGCACCTCAGAGCGAGACACTTAAAGTCTGCTGGTGTTCGGGGGTTGGAAGCCTTCACAAGCCATTGCACTGACAGTATTTTTCAACTACATACACGTGTATAATTAGAGCTACTTGCTGTATACTGCATGAAAAAGAACTTCTCATTTTTTTCCGTCCACTCATTAAATATGTGTAATAAATGAGTTACAAGGTTGTTGTTTTTAAAAATGTAATTATAGAACATTTTTTCTGTAAATCAAATGCCTTTGATTGTTATAATAAATCCAATATTAAAGGTGACATATGTTCTAGGAGTACAGAAAATTTAAAATTAGTCTCTCCTGGTGCTGCAGAGATAATCTTACATTCTGTTTGGGTCATATTTTTCAATCCAGTTTGCTCTTTTTTATGACTTTTTTCTGAACTATGATGTCAYTCTTTGCGACAGAATTTCTGAATAAGGTTTGGACTTACCAACTACAATTATATTGTCTTCATTCTCTGGCTCTGGACTAGACTCTGGCTCCAACATGTAAGGATGGATGGACAAGTTATCCCTTTTTGACGTCTTTTAGTTTATTTGTACGTAAACCATTCCTGCACCTCTACTTAGTTGTAAACCCCTCTATCAAACTAGAATGGACCACTCTGGAAGCTGGAGGGGGCCGAGTTGTGAAGTGCCTTGTTTAGATTTAAAGAGAGTTGATCTCAAACACAGAAAAGGGATGGAAGAGGGGCTTGTGGAGTTTAAAAAAAGGAGGAATTAAAACCAAATCATTGTAGTTCCACTTTATATAGACCGAATGGTTTAAATATGAAAAAAAATTCAAAAAACATTTGTCTCCTTTAAAAGGATTACTAGTTGTATGTAACCTATTGTTATAACATTAAAATATTCATGAAATCATTATTTTTAATCTGCTGATTTGTTTTTGATTATTAAGTGCATCAAGTGTTCATTTTCCAATAACTTTAGTAGCCGAGTAGCTGAAATGTTTCTTTGGAATTAAGGCTGCACCATAAAATTAAATTTAGGCTATGTGCAAGATTTAGTAATAAATGTCATCTAGTTTCTATGTGATCTTAAGCGAGCTACAGCTTAACAGCATATGAAGTTGTGCAGAGAAAGTCACTGAATTAACAGCGCCATTGTTATCCTGCATGTTTTCTGTTAGATGACTACATCACACCAACTTTCTCCTGAAAGCCCCTACACAGTGTTTCTTTTTGATATTAATTTGCATGCCTGAGCACACAAAAATACGACAAAGGCACATGGGCATCATGTTGCACCCGCGCGCGTGCGCCATGAATGTGTATACAATTACACAGACACATGCTCATACATATGCACCAGAAAAACACACACACAGCCTTTGTGTTAGAAAATGTCAAATCCGCTCGCTTTTCCCTGGAGGTCCAGTGTCAGATGAGATTGTGTTTCTTTACTGAACACTGCACAGTCGGCCCCGGTGTGATTTTGGTTGTATGTGTGTGAGATTGAGAGTTAGAGAAGAGGGCCAGTGATGAGATATGTTGCATAAGGGGGTGCAGTGGTGTGTGAAAGAGAACAGGTGGCTCCATTTTCTGCCATCTAGCTTTATGTGCCATCTTCCCTATTGTGCTCAAGTGTGTGTATGTGTGATAGGGAGTGAGAGCCCATTGCTTTGTGAGCGGGGATCCGTTCGTACCTCGAGCACATATCTCCATACATACACACGCTACCTTGTCCTGTTTCTCTTGTGTCTGTGTGTGTGTTGGCTCTTTAGAGAGCAGGGTTCCGGTTGGTTTAGAAACAATTATATGAAGCTGCAAAAGCCCAAAGAGATCGTTCTCCAAATGTCATCCAATTAACAATCCATACTGAACACAGAGCAGGACTCTCTCATGTTTCTTGTTTCTCTATTTGTCTCTGTCTGACTGTGTTTTCTCACGAGACATGTTCAGTGACTAACAGTTGAAAAATGGCAGGCAGTGTCACACACTCACTCAGAAACAAAAGATCAAAGTGAGTTGTTCTCAGTTTAGTTTCTCGACTTAAAAGGAAAAAAAATCTGCTTCTGTTTTTCTCCTTTAGATCATCCATCCAGGCCGGTGGTCAGGACCAGGCAGCAGCAACCTGGCTCTAAGGGACCGAAGGGTGGTGCGGGGTTTGGGAGCAGCACACGGAGGGGACCTCTCTAACCAACACCACCCGTACCACTGCCTGCCCCTGTACGGTCGGGCTTCAGAGCGCCACACTGCCAGAGAGGAGCGCCACCACCAGGGGGTCTCGGGTCAGCCCGCAGCCCGCGTCGTTCCTTTAAACCTGGCGTCATCGTCCTCTCAGCCGGCACCCACCCCACCTGCCCAGCTTCAAGTTTCACACCTGAACCTCGGTTCGAACCAACGCCTAGATTCCTGCTCGGATTCAGCCGCTGACACCCCTCCTCCACCTCTGAGCTCCAAGCAGCCTGAGGGGGTGTCTTCCTCCTCCGAGTCTCTAACTCCAGGAGGAGCAAAAAGGGGAGGAAGTGATCCGCACCCACCAAGTCTGATCCCACGGGCAGTCGGGGCCAGCGCCTCTTCGAGCCTGCACAGCCTCGCCAGCAGGGGGAGCCCTTCTGGGCACAACTCTTCATCAGAGCAAACCTCACCCACACCTCCTACTACTTCCTCAGCCTCCTCCTCGACCTCCTCCACCTTCACCGGCCGCTTAGGGCAGCCACCTCGAGGCCCTTTGTCCCTGCATAGCTACAGCCGTAAAAACGTCTTCCTCCAGCATTCGCTACACACTGCCGAACTGCAGGCTCTCACGCAGAGAGACACTTAAAACACACAATCATTATCATTCCAATCACGAGCAGCCATATCATCAAGTGAAGTGAGGACAAGTGAGAATTTAAAGAAGAAAAAAAAACAAACTGCTGCTTTTTCTGTTAAAGTCTCCCCCTTCATGCGCTTACAATCACTCTTTGCAACCCAGACCATCCCTTTATTCACACGTTGCTCAAACATTTGCTGGCTTTTCCTCGCACTCAAATGCAAGTTCACACACACAGGCACACACTCGAACATGCATATCAGGCTGTGAGATTGAAAAAAGGCACTCACCCGTCTATCATAGCTCCCACGTTGTGTCATGCTGACAGTTCAGATGAGCTTACGCCCACAGACACACAAACTGCACACACACACACACACACACACACACATAGACATTTCACCATACACACAAATGCAGTCACCCACATTGAAATGCACACTTTGACACAAAGACATTGTCTGTGATATCTCTGCTTCACCATCTGCACTATTAACACGGTGATACAACTGAATGAAAAGATGAGGTGTCTGCTTTGTTAAAGATTAATTTATTTTTTATTTCTTCACTTGAACACCAACCTCCATTCCATGTTTTAGGAATTATAGGAATGATTGTAATTTCTGCTTGAGGTAGTACATTCTCGACTCGCCAAACCCTGCATTAGGTCATACCTCGCTCCACAGAGGTCCAGAATAAGAGCTGTTTCACTGAGGATCCCCAGCTGCAATCCTTCTCCTGCATGCTTTTTAGGATTTATAGGGGAGAACAAAAAGAATACTGTCAGGCTTTTTGTGCTCTTTCTACCATAAAGTTACAGTATCAGTTCTCATCTCAGTGTTTCAAGAAGGAAATCACACATGCCACAACCTCTAAGACACTTGTTTATATACGGTATATATATAAAAAAGGCTCCATATAAACAATTATGGATTTTTTGCTTAAACCTGGAATGATCTTTTTATTGTACAAATACCATGAACAATATGACTTACAATGTACTCTATACACGATTTGATCTTTGTCCATGAATAGTACTGTAAAGTTATGTCATTCATTCTAAAAAGAAATATTTATCTCATTAAGCCATGCATTCAAACCAACAGTTAATTCATTTGGTACAACTTGTTTCAAAAATATACTCATTTAGTGTTCAACAAGCAAAAATATATATATAAAAAAATAAATAAATAGGTCATCTGGACGGGTTCTTCTTTAGTGAAACGTTTCATCTCTCCTCTCCTTTCACTAAAGAAGAACCCATCCAGGGGACCTATTTATTTTTTCTTTTTGATTTTTTCTACCTGGATTATTGAGATGCATCAGGAAAAAAATATATATTTCAATTAATAGTATTATAATAAAAAATCAGTAAAAAAGTTAACAGTCAAAGTTTTTAGTTGGTTAAATATTAATAGGAAATAAACAGAAAATAAATGTTTACAAGCTGCTCTTATTTTCTTTAACTGCACAGACAGAAATTTTCCTCAGATTGTCAGTTCTGCTGCGTTCAGCGTCTTTACTTTTATTGAATATTTAACCTAATGAGGTCTCAGTTGGACAACACAGCCAGTTATTTTTCTTTCAGCCTTGAACCACATACTGCTGGAGTTCAATTCAAATGACTGCCATTACCTGCTGAGTGCACCACAAAAAAGAAGAAGAAAAAAAAAAAGAAATCCTTACAGCTGGACTGTGTAACAACCTGTTCAGTGTGCCACTGTTGAATATATTTCCTGCAAAACTGACAAACCCATCGAACAGATACAGAACTTTCCCCCTTCGGCTCAGAGCTAAACGGATCCCACAGTGTCAGCCGGGAACTTGTAGTCGGCGCAGGCGAACAGTTCACAGCTCCTGGCATCTACAAACCATGTGAGATGTTGGAGGGGTTGTTGACCTTGTCTGTCTCTAAATAGCACCTGGCTTGAGGGGAGTTGTGTAAATTATGTGTGTGTGCTGTAATGCACACTTCATGAGGGAAAAACCTGGTGGAGGTGAAAAAAAAAAAGCTAAAGCCTGAAGGGTAGCAGCTCTGTTCTGAGTGTTAAAAGCTACAGCTCTGCTCGTGGTCTGGTTTTCTTAGACGCCTCATTGTTCTTTTGATTCTAATTGTTACCAACTCCCCTCAAGCTCTACTTTGTTGTTACAAGTATATATATATATATATATATATATATATATATATATATATATATATATATATATATATATATATATATATATACAGTCTGTCTCTGCAACACCGTGCTCTTTACATCCCCCAGTGTCCAAACATTTGCTGTCTCTGTTTTTACCCATCACCTGCTTCCTTTGGTTCTTTCCAGGTCTATAATTCTGTCTGTTTCCTCTGCTGAGCCCACAGCTCGTATCTGTCATAATCTCTGCTGCAGCGACTCCTCGTTTCGGTGCACCGGGACCTACATCGCTGCTGATTTTCATTCAGGCGTTTTAATCAGGGAGTAATTTTAGATCCGATAAATGCAATTAACGGGCGGCACGGTGGCTCAGTTGGTAGAGCTGATGCCTCTCAGCAAGAAGGTCACCGGTTCAAATCCCGGTCTGGGGACCTTTCTGGGTAGAGTTTGCATGTTCTCTCCGTGCATGCGTGGGTTCTCTCCGGGTACTCCGGCTTCCTCCCACAGACCAAAAACATGACTGTTAGGTTAATTGATAACTCTAAATTGTCCCTAGGTGTGAGTGAGAGAGTGAATGGTTGTTTGTCTCGTTTGTCTCTATGTGTCCCTGTGATGGACTTGCGACCTGTCCAGGGTTTACCCCGCCCCTCGCACCGTGACTGCTGGATATGGGCACCAGTGACCCACGCGACCCTGAAAAGGAAGAAGCGTGTACAGAAAATGGATGGATGGATGGAAATGCAATTAACTACCTGAACAGAGCAGACGGGCCAGCAGTGGTGTCGCTCCTCGCAGCATCTGGACTCTGCTGTATTTGTTTAGAGGTGATCCTGCCCTGTTGCTGTTTGACCTCTTTAGTATTTAAGTCCCTAATTAAAGGCTGGATTTGAATGCCGTCGTCACCGTGTGAAATGTAGAGTATTTAACTGCCCACACAGGTTTTATTTTTGCTCCGTGTTTGAAGCGGCTGCACTCGTTTCAGCTGCAACAGAGGAACACACCGCAGAGGGAGGCAGCTGGTTATGTCACATGTCATGAAAGAAAGAGGCCACATCTGAGATTGTAGTTCAAATGTGGCCTTGAGGTCTTTCACAAAGTCGTTTTTTTTTTTTTTTTTTTTTTTTTTTTTTCCAAACTGAAAGGACGAACTGATAGAGACTTTCACTGCTCGGGGACAAATGAACACACCTCAAGAATCTTAATTTCTTTCTTCATTTTTCTCGGTGCGCATTTTAGACACTACATTTCCTGGGAAATTATTTATTTTTACATTTTTTTTGCCTTATTTATATTAATGGTCATAGGAATAGTTTCCTAAAGTCACTTCCAGGTAAATGTAGTAATCATGATGAATACGAAAATGAAAATAATGATAATCATGTTCAGATGTTATGTAAAGAAAGAATATATGATGTTCTAGTTCTTTGATTTTCTTACTGTATTTTTAATTTTTAAGTAGCTGTAATGATGAAATATATTTGAGCATAAATTATTGATTTCAGAATGTTAGTTTTGATTTGTACTCAGTTTGTGTTTTGTGACTTTATGATGGTTCGAAGATGTTTTTGTTGACACGACGAAACTTAAATCACCACAAAAGAAAACATATCTTTTTATTTTTTTATGCATTCAGAGGCCAAAGAGTTCCAGGCATTAGGGATGCACTGGAATACAAAAAATGGCCATTTTCATGAGATTTTCTGTTCATTTCCTGCCTGTTCAGTCGCTCACGAGCGATTCTGCTTTAATTTTTAAAATAACTACGAAAGACGTCACACTGAGATTACTTTTGCATCTTAAAAGTGGATGATTAACAAATAAAGCTGCTTTCTGCTGTTTCAGGTTGACATATCTATTTCTTATAAAAACATAATAGTTAGASTTTGTTGTGATTTATCCACATGGATGCAAAATTTCTTCCTTTATGGATTTGTTTTTTCATTTTAGATAAACATTTTACAAACTGGTTTAATCAACTATTCTGTGATTTTAAAAAAGTGTAATTTTAGCCAAAGTATTTCTGTTCACTTTCTGTCCAGATCAGTTTTTACCACTCACGTTTGCTCACGTGACAAAAGATTTTTTTGTCCACTTTGTTGTTATCAGTAATATTTAAAACAAATAAAATAGATTAAAAACAGCATATGTTTACTTTTTTCTGTCCATGTATTTCAGACCTTTTTTTTTTATTCTAATCTTATCTTGTGTCTGTAGATTGGCTGGGATGTTTTTTTAAAGCAGGTGGGAAAAGCCCTCATTAAAAAGGTGCACTTCAGGAGTCGCTCGCCTGTCTCAGGAACCATTTCACTGTACAAATCTCTAAAGAAAAGAAAGAAAAATCAAAGCCTGAAAGTAGAGCACATATCAAAGCAGTGAATAAAACATTCCAATAGCCATCACTCTGAAAGACTCACTTATAAAACATTTCCTGCTGCAACACTGGGAAGATTTGTGGCACTTCAGCAGATGCACACACGAGCAATTCTACCTCAATGGAAACGATCCTCCAACTTATTTGATTTTATTTTCATTTGGCAGAGACCATAAAGTATGAAAAGTGTTCAGAAGATCAATTACATTAGCATGAGTTTGTAGGCACCCATGTGTGTGTGTGTGTATAAATATATAGTGTAAATGTGTTTGTGTGTGGGATGCAGACTGAACTGTTTACCCCTTAGGGAGGACCTGTGCATGCTCCTCATTTCTGGACTCACTCAATTAGTGTTGCTGACGTTCTGACTGGCTGAGTAGAGCACACGCAGGATTAGCAGACAGCAGGTCTGCTGCTAACTTGCTGTAATTGATATGACAGCAGGTCAGCACATCAGTAAACACACTTCTGATTAACAGAGCTCGGAAAGCCAAAGAGATCACGTAATAGACGAGACACATATTTGTGCAGATCATGAGGGATTCTCCGAAGGATTTAGAAATTTGCATTTCCTGTACGAACTGGTCGGAAAAGTCGACTGCTGAAGTGACTCATGGATTTATTAACTGGTGATAAATCATTGACAACATATATCTAAGATAAGATAAGATAAAACTTTATTGTGGGGAAATTTGCACATTACAGCAGCTCAAAACAGAACAGGGTGAGATAGAATAAAAGATAGGTAAAAGAAAAAAACACTATACTCGTGATGTATAACAYTGTACATATACCTAGTACAGTACATAATGAATAAATACAAAGGTGCATATTAGTGATGGCAGTGTAGGTGAATTGTCCAAGTGACTGATAACATCATGATGTGTTGTACAGTCTAACTGCAGTTGGAATGAATGACCTACAGAAGCGCTCCGTCCTGCAGCGAGGATGTTTAAGTCTCTGACTGAAGGAGCTGCTCAGCCCCCCCACGGTTTCATGCAGAGGGTGATGGGGGTTGTCCATGATGGCGGTCAGCTTTGCTAACATCCTCCTCTCACCCACCACAACCACAGGCTCCAGAGGACATCCCAGCACAGAGCTTGACCTCCGTATCAGTTTGTCCATCCCATTCCTGTCCCTTTCAGTACATCCAGCCCCCCAGCAGACCACTCCATAGAAAAGGGCAGATGCTACCACCGTGTCATAGAATGTCTTTAACAGAGTCCTGCAGACACCGAAGGACCTCAGTCTCCTCAGCAGGTGGAGTCGACTCTGGCCCTTCTTATACAGGACATCTGTGTTCGGCAGTGGTTCCCAACCTGG